TGGCTTCTCTTCCTGGCTCCTGAGGCAGCCTTCCAGGGGCAATCATGGAAAGAAAAACATTTACATCCTCGGATTTGTCACTCGGATGTAGCATGTGCTCCAGGTTTTTCTTCACCTGCTCTCTTCATAGAGTGGTTTAGGAGCCTCCCATATCAGTACATCAGTCTGTGGGAGTCCGTCTTATTGAAGTTAATGTAGGGCATTTTGTTTATGGCTATACCCACATTAGCTTATTGGGAGGCTTGTTTATGTATTTTCCAGTCTTTTGTTGCTGTGAATAGTGCTGCAATGGCGTACACAGGTGATATGCATTCGTGACAACATGTATGGTGCTGAATTGGCTTTCTCTAACCGCGACAGCACACCTGAGATACTTCACTTAAGAGAGTTTGTTTTGTTTCATGATCTCAATCCGTGGTTGCTTGACATGTTGTTGTGGGCTTGTGATGTCTGCTGGCCTTTTGGCAGTCAAGGGAGAGAGAGAGACAGAGACACAGAGAGACAGCGAGAGCGTGATATCTTCTTCAAAGGACTATCTTCTGGTGACCTAGCCTCCTCCCACGAGGCTCAGGGTCCGAAGATTCTCCCACCTATCATACCAAAGACGGGACTGCAGTCCTGGAACCCCCGGCCACACCTTTGAAGAAGTGCAGAACAAACCACAGCCAGGCCCTGTGGACACTGTCAAATTCTTCTTCTTTTTTAAACACTTATCTCTGTTTTTGTTTTCATGTGTGTTTGTGTCCATGTCTGTGTGTCCATGGAGGCAAAAGAGTGTGTTGCTGGATCATCTGGAGCTGGAATTTCAGGCAGTTGTAAGCCTTCTACTGTGGGTGTTGGGTGTGGAACTCAGGACCTCCGCAAGAGCAATACAGGTTCTTAACTGCTGAACCCTTGCCCCAGCAAAAGTGACATGTCCACTTTTTTTCTTTTTTTGATAGGGTTTCTCTATGTAGCCTTGGCTGTCCTGGAACTCACTCTGTAGAGCAGGTTGGCTCTGAACTCACAGAGATCCGCCTGGCTCTGCCTCTTGAGTGCTGGGATTAAAGGCGTGTGCCACCACCGCCCGGCTCAAACTGTATTTTTTTTTTTTTTTTGGTTTTTTGAGACAGGGTTTCTCTGTGTAGCTTTGCGCCTTTCCTGGATCTCACTCTGTAGACCAGGCTGGCCTCGAACTCATAGAGATCCACCTGGCTCTGCCTCCCGAGTGCTGGGATTATTTTTAAATTCTTACACATTTTCTTCCAATAATTAAAAGGTTAAAATGTCACTTCCACATTATTTACTAATAAATAATTAACCTTGGTGTAAAATCTAGCCTTACTTGGGCTGTATAGATAATCTGTTGTAACAACACCCTCACTTCCTACTGATTCCAAACATCTTGTTTTTTAGGTGTGAATGACTCTTACATCTATACTGTTACATCTGTCTTTCCATGGACTAACATTGCGCTCTTTCTAAAATTCACTAATTTATTCACTGGTGTGTTCTGTGTGAGTGTGTGCGAGCATGTGTATGAAAGCATGTGTGTGAAAGTGTGTGTGTGTGTGTGTGTGTGTGTGTGTGTGTGTGTGTGTGTAGGTTTCTACACCTATGTGCTTGCGGGGGTCAGGAGAGGGCATCAAGTATCTTCATTCGTCCTCTCTGTCTGTCCCACCGAGGCAGGAGCCGGCCTTGAACCCAAGGCTCATGCCATGCTAGGCTGGAGGCCAGCAGACCCCAGTGACCCTCCTTCTTTCGCCCCACCCTGAGTGTGGGTTTCAGCACTTGAGGAGATGCAGGCTTTGTTACCTGGGTGCTGGGATCCAGACTCTGGTTCTCACAGTTTTCGAGCCAAAGCTCTGATAGCTGAGCCCTTTCTCGGCCCCAACATCACACTTTGAACTCCTCTAGCCTCGTGATGTGTTCTGATCTGTGGGGCGCAGCCCCTAACAGCTGCCCCTTCCTAGACGTTCTTGATTTTAGTAATTGTAAATACTAGTTTACATCTAAACTTTTGACTTAGTTTAAGTTAAAAAAAAAAAAATAACAGCCAGGCGGTGGTGGCACACACCTTTAATCCCAGCACTTGGGAGGCAGAGCCAGGTGGATCTCTGTGAGTTCGAGGCCAGCCTGGGCTAGAGAGCAAGATCCAGGACAGGCTCCAAAGCTATATAGAGAAACCCTGTCTCAAAAAAAAAAAAAAAAAAGATATGGGCATTTAAAAAAATAGCTTTGAGTACTCTATCACATTAAATACATAATATATATATATATACACAACTTGGTTAAAGATTTTTGTTTTTATATTAAACTTACTTAGTCTCAAATAAATTACAAACTTCCTAGTAACATTGAAATGTTTTATTCCTGTAGATCTTGCACATCTCATGGAGAACACAGTTTATCATCAGCTGTTTTTCAGACAGGAGTAGGTTTCTAGCAAGCTAGCCTCTTCTATACTGAAGACTGCTGGTCCTTTTGTATTACCTAATACCTAACCATCTCAAAATTTCCCATTCTTAAGGTAGTTTTATTGTTACTTATAATAATCCCATAAACCGGGCTGAGAAAATAGTTCAGTCCATAAGGAACCTGAGAGTCTGAGTTTAGATGTGGCCTAAAAAGCCGTAGGTGGCCACACACACCTGAAATCCCCACGCTTGGAGTCAGAAGCGGGGAAATCCTGTCCACCTTTCTGGCAGCAAACCAATCCTGTGTCGATGAGCCCCACCGCCACCTCTGCCTCTGGCTTGCTGGTGCCACTGTGACCCAAGCTCCCACTGAAGTTCCCTCCATATCTTCAGGAAGTTTTATCTGGTGGGAGGAGAGGAAGGCCGGAAGCAGATGGCCACTTCTTTCAGACCACACTGAAAGCCGGTTTTTCTTGGTTTTTAACCGTTTCCTTGTCTTACACGCTGACCTCCTGCAGCCAGCTCTCATCATTTTTGCATTTCAACGATGACTTTGTTCTTTCAGAAGCATTTATTTTATGCTCTGTATAGGTCAGGCGCTGGGCTAAGTACTGAACTAATACCACGGAGCTAAGGTATGTATGTGCCCTAGAAGGCCTTCCTTCCTTCCTCCTGGCAGATGGAAGAGGAAGCCTGCATTAAAGACCAGGAGATATTTGCTCTGATAGGGATTGAAGTCTCCCAGGGGAAGGACAGCAGCGGCGGAGTCTCCAGTGGGTTTAGGAAGCACACTCCACGGAAGCCTCAGCAAAGCCGGCAGAGGGGCAGAGGATGAAGGGACGGGAGAGCCCAACACAAGAGTTCACACGCCATCCCCAGTGCGGTCAGCTGGCTGTTTCAGCAAGCAGTGACACAACACTGAATTTTATAGTCTTCCTGTGGGAGTAGGTCAAAGGATAGAGGAGGCAGGGAGGCAGGGGGAGGGGTCAATGCTTGATGTTATTCTCAGTTCAGTTTGGCTCTTTAAAGGATGCACTCAATTAAAAAAAAAAAAAAATCCTGGCCTGCAGGCATACATGCAGGTGGAACACTATCTACAGAATGAATGAATAAATAAATAAATAAATAAATAAATAAATCTTAAACGGTATTTATTGTCTGGGACATGGGGTTAGTGGCTCCCTCCGTCCAGCTTTCTTCTGTTTGTGTTAACCAATAAGATGGGAGACACAATCAACACTTTTTTGCATAGCACAGTCTGGAAGGGGCTGGAGAGGATGGCTCTGCAGTTAAGAGCACTGGCTGCTCTTCCAGATCTGGGTTCAGTTCTCAGCACCCACATGATGGTTCACAACCACCTGTAGCTCTAGTTCCAGGAGATCCAATGGCCTCTTCTGGCCTCTGAAGGTACTGCATACATGTGATGCACATACATACATACATACATACATACATACATACAGGTAAGAAAGTAGAGTCTGGAAGTAAATCCAGATGTGGGAGTGGACAGATGTGTTTGTTGTCCCTCATAAGTCAGCTTTTTGACATTTCACTTTGTCTTTAAGGTGTATGCAGAGAGATTTCTGGCTGTTAATTTTGCATTTTCAGATAGGGAAGTTAACACTCAGAGGTTCTGTCCATTTAGAGGTTCTCTCTAGTCCTCTCTGTCCAAAGAACAGGTGCATCTGTAGTTTCCGTGCGTGCGTGCGTGCACCATTTCTCATGAGCCATCTACCTTGTTTTTATGAGACACAGTCTCTCTTGAATCTGAATCTGGAACGCATCGATTAGGGTAGGCCGGCTGGCCTGTAGGCCCCAGGGATCTGTCAGTCTCTGCCTCCCCAGTGTTGGGATTTAGCTCTGTACCATCTGCCTGTCTCTTTATGTGGATGCTGGAGATGGACTCCGGCGAGCACTCCCCTGAGCTGTCTTCCTCACACTGTCGTTTTCAAGCTGGACACCAGTTGGTGTGAGGTTGCTCACTGGACAGGACGCTGGTTTGAGACACCAGGCTATTCTAGAACTAAGTTGGCATACTGTGATCACCCATGCTGTTGTGGCTGTGCCCGGGAACGTGCCCCTTCGGGCTTTGTCTGTTGATGAAGCCCTCTTTCAGTATAAACACTCTGTCCAAGCTAAGCACAGAAAATACTGTTTCCTGATCCTATACAACTCACAAGATGGCTTTAAACCTTGGTAGGACAGAGGAATAGGAAAACGAGCCTCTCTTATTGGTGGTCACGCGCCTTTAACTCCAGCATCCAGGACGCAGAGACAGGAGAGTTCTGTGAGTTCGACACTAGCTTGGCCAACACAGCAAGTTCCAGACAACCCAAGACCACAACAGTGATTCCCTGTCTCAAAGTAAAGAAAGAAATATTTAAAAGTAAAATTCACTGAGTGGTGGCGCACGCCTTTAATATCAGTACTCGGGAGGCAGAGGCAGACAGAGCCCTGAGTTCAAGGCCAGCCCGGTCTACAGAGTCAGTTCCAGGACAGCCAGGGCTACACAGAGAAATCCTGTCTCAAAAAACAAACAAACAAACCTAAACAAACAAACAAACAAATAAAGTAAAATTCAAAATAGGGCTAGTGGTGTGGCTTTGTGGGAGAGCAGGAGACGTTGAGTTCAGTCTCTAGCATAAGCCAACAACTAAAATACACATACCCAGGTATACACAGATACAAAACAGTACTGGCAGCATGCCAGACATGCCCTTATGAGATACAGATGAAAACCCAGAATCCACAGGCTGGAGATGTAGTTCGGTGGTAGGGCATTTGCCTAATATGAATGAGGTTCCAGGTTCAATCCACATGTACTAGAAGGAAGAGAACTGCAAATACAACATAGTTAGGTAATGACACTGCTACAGTATTGACTTGAAGCAAAACAGGGAAAACTTTGAAACAGCTAAGACAAAAAGGCCCAGATGGGCAAGAACTGGTGAGTTAATGAGCTTTGGACACTGTAACTGTTTTGCACTCTGGGCCTCCTACCTACCTAAGGATTTCCATTTGATGAATCCTCAGCTTCACTGGGGCATTTCCCTTCAACCTGCCAATTTGGGGGAAGCTGTTGCTTAGATGCTATGCTGGACAGTTTTATGTCAACTTGACACAAGCTAAAGTCATCTGAGAGGAGGGACCCTCGATTAAGAAACTATCTCCATAAGACCAGGCTATAGGCAAGCTTGTAGGGCATTTTTAAAATTAGTGATTGATGGTGGAGGGCGCAGCCCATTGTGGATAGTGCCATTCCTGGGCTGCTGGTGGTCCTGGGTCCGATAAGAACGCAGGTTGAGCAAGCCATGGATGAGCAAGCCAGTAAGCAGCTCCCCTCTGTGGCTTCTGCATCAGCTCCTGCCTCCAGGTTCCTGCCGTTTGAGTTCCTGTCTTGACTTCTCCCAATGATGATCTGGAAGTGTAAGCCAAATAAACCCTTTCCTCCCCAACTTGCTTTTTGGTCATAGTGTTTTGTTGCAGCAATACTCACCCTAACTAAAGTTGGTGCCAGCACAGGGGGACGTTGCTGTGACAGACCCAACCATGTTTTGAGGAGGATTGTGGAAGGACTTTGGAAATTTGGGCTAGAAAAGCCATCTGGTGCTGAGAGCTCAGAGGATGTGCAAGACAAGAATGTTAAAAGCAGAGCAAGATGGCGGCTTGGCCTGTGACGTCTCAGAGGGAAGTGTAAAGACTATCAGGGCTCTTTGCTATTTTTGAATAAAGAGTCTGTCATTCTGGGCAGCTGGGGCTGAAGAGTCAGCATGATTAACAAGAGACCGGCACCTCTGAAGTGCAGTCTTTGTGTTACTGGGTCAATTGGTGCTGGCTGGTCAGCTGGAGCTCAGAAATTAGCGGTGATTAAGAAGAGACCAGCATCACTGAGGGGAAGCCTTCTGGGAAGTGTTCCCTCAGGGTCAGCACCCAGAAGCTGTGGTAGAGAAGTGGACAAGGCTGTACCTTGGGCTGTCATCTGAACCGGGTAGTGTCACCCAGGTGGTACCAGTTTTGAAGGCGTAAAGGGGTCATGGAGAGCAGCTGAGGGGTGAGCGCCCCAGAGAGGCTACTGGTGAAAGTGCAGCCCAGTTGTAGCAGGGGACTCCAGCAGTCTGGGAAATGCCAGTGCCATGGGATGATCACCACAAACAACAGCAGCAGAGGAGCCGGCTAGAACAGAGAGGACAATCTGTGTGTGCTGCAGAGGGCAGAGCTGGAGAAGTGACCCAACCCCCTGGAGAAGCCCAGAAGACTGAATGAGTGAATTCCAGATAACTGGACCTTGAGTTATTACACTGTTGGAGTTTGTTTTGCTTTGATCTGATAGTGACTGTGCTCTGATTCTTCCCTCTTGAAGTGAGAAGGTATTAATTTTGTTTTGTTTTGTTTTGAGACAGAGTTTCTCTGTGTAACAGCCCTGACTGTCCTGGAACTCTATTTGTAGACCAGGCTGGCCTTGAAGTCACAGAGATTCACCTGCCTCTGCCTCCCGAGTGCTGGGAGCCACCATGCCTGGCTAATTTTGATTTCTACAGGAGCCCACA